CAAAACCAAAGACAAAGAAAGAATCCTGAAAGCAGCATGGGAAAAACGAAAAGTTACCTACAAGTGACAATTGCTAAGACTAAGCTTGGATTTCTTGGCAGAAACCATGAAGGTGAGAAGACAATAGGATGGAATATATATAAAACCCTGATAGAGAAAAATTTCCAACCAAGAATTATGTACCCAGCAAAATTATCCCTCAAATATGATGGTGAAATTAGGATATTTCCAGATAAGCAGAAATTAAGGAAATTTGTTAAAATCTCTTATAAGAGATTTTAAAGGGATCCCTTTGGACAGAGCACCAACAACAGCAAACAACAAATAACTATTAACACACATGATGATATAACCCAGAAACCAACCCAGCTATGGAAGTATTCAAAGTAAATAAGTCTACAAGATTGTAAACAGGTAACCAGAGACATCAATTGACAAATGAGGAGAACTACAAACCAAAAAGAGGGAAAAAAACTGCGTCATTACAGAACTTCTAGATGGTAGGGAAGTCAAGACAACTACAAGATAGAACAGACTGTTTTAAACTTGGGAAGAAAACTATAAATCACAGGGTAACTTCAAAGAAAAATGATAAACCTTCACATCAAAATAAAAAAGAGGACCAGCACAAATATTTAGCAAATACTAAAACAATAGCAATGAAGGAAGTGATAACACAATTCATAAAATAACGATTTCAGCATAGAAAATTATATGGAAGAAATAGACACCACCAAAAAGCGCATAACAAAAATGACAGCAAAAAATTCATATTTGCCAATAATTACGTATCTGACAAGGGACTTAGAGATCTCTTAAGTTTTATAGAAAACTCCAATGCCTCAAAAGCAAAAGAATTAACAATCCAATTTAAAAATGGGCAGAACACATGAATAGACACTTCACCAAGAAGGATATTCAGGTGGCCAGCTAATACATGAAGAGATGCTCATGATCATTGGCCATCAGAGAGATGCAAATCAAAACAACAATGAGATACCATCTCACCCCAACACTGATGGAAGTTTCAACGAGATAGAAAATAACAAATTTTCTGGCAGGGATGTGGAGAGATTGGGACTCTCATACACTGCTAGTGGGACTGTGAAGGGATACAACCACTGTGGAAAGCAGTATAATGATTCCTTATATTGGAATTGGAGATATCATTTGACCCAGAAATCCCATTACTAGGTATATATCCTATAGAGGTGAGAGCCAGGACAAGAATAGATATATGCACACCCATGTTCATCGTAGCACTATTTACAATAGCAAAGAGATGGAAACAACCGACGTGCCCATCAGCAGAAGAGTGGATGACCAAACTATGTACATACACACAATGGAACACTATGCAGCACTAAAGAATAATGTAGAGTCTGCAAAACCCCACATAATATGGATGAATTTGGAGGACATTATGCTGAGTGAAATAAGTCAATCACAGAAGGACAAATATAGTATTAGTTCGTTGTTTTGGAGGGTGAAGGAAAGGTTTATGTATGGAAGGAAATTTTCTTTGTTGGTTTCCAGGGGTGGAAGGGGAGGGGAGGGAACATTGAAAAAAAAATGCATTGACTCCTGTCACTTTCGTTTTGTGTATTTCACTGCACATAAATTATATTTCAATAAAATGCATTTTTTTTTTTTAAAAAAAGATAAGTTCATTCTAATTGGTGGAGAAATACTGGAGGGGAGAATGCTTTTGTGCTAAAGTACCAGGCAAAGAGAAAATAGAATCCCATAGTTAAAAATATCCCACAGGCTAGACCAACTTCACAGTAGGTTTTTATTAGATGGAGGATACCTGGGGTTAGCTCAAAGAAAAGTAGCTGACAAATGGCAAGCACAGCTGTTCCACAGAGGAAAAGAGGCATCCCTAACTGTAAAAAATGGGTACTTAAGATATCTAAGAGCCACGGTCTCCTGCTTAACTCTGACCACCAAGGAAACTCTTCTCTTTAGCACTCAACATAACCAGTGCTGGCACACGAAGGTCTACAGTGAGCTAGTTCAACTTGGCCAACAGTTCTTCTAGCTCTGGTCGAGCTTTGAATCTTCCCTTGAAGTCGTCTTCAGTGTGCTAGGAAGAAGAAAATAAGTGGGAATTACTGCAGAGCTTTTCATTATCCAAATATGCACAGTAACCAAAAAGGACCCACCAGCTAGTTCTGCAGAGAATGATTCATATTCAACTAACTTTTACTAAGTGCCTAATATGTACCAGACATTGTATTAGGTGCCAGGGATTCAAAGTTAAATCAGACTTCCTCTCTGTCTTCAATAACTCATAGTTTGATGAGAGGAGACAAGCACAGAAAGAACTAATGTCAAAATAGTGTAAAAATCACAACAGAGGCACTAAAGAAAAAAGAGAGAGGGAGAGAAAATGCCAAATCATTAATTTACAATAGAGATAAGAGTCAAAGGGACAGGGATATTTGAAGTCAGCCAGACTAGTCCATTCTTTCCCTGTATGTAGATCTATGTGAAACCCAAAAATCAAGCAGAAGAGGCTTGACAAAGATAAGCTCAGAACAAGGGAACCTAGATGAAATAAATGGCACCAGTCTAAGATAACCTGATGTAACTGTGTCATTATAAGGATCATATTGGCAACAGGACCAGAGGACTCAGTATTTAGTCTAAGGTTCCTAATGTTTTTCAAGTTTTCCATGCCTGACCAAACTTCCTACAGAGTAAGTAATATTCTTTATTGAATGTATTCAGTCAGGCTATATATAGTCAAGCCTTGTAGGCCCCCAGAAAACTTCTCTCTAAATTACATTTTAATATTACTGTTCTGATTTATTAGACTGTATACTAAAACATGTTCTTTCTGCTTCACAACTGCCTGCAAGGAGGGAATTTGGGGCTGTCATGAGCTCACCCCTAACTTCAGGATAAGGCCAGCTGCTGTGGGTCAATAAACCATCATCCTGATGCCTCAGAAGTCAAAATAATAATGCTATTCACCTTTCCTGGTTATTATCTGGGCTAAATTAACTACATTTCCCAGTTGTTTCTAAAGCCAGGCAGTCCAGATGCTCTTAGCAGCTCCACAGCTCAATCTACATTTTGAACACAGAAGGCCACCAGGGGGCCTCTTCCCAAACTAATACCTACCTCCTTCACTGACAATCTGACTCCTTCAGGAAGACTGTTTCGTATTATTTCCAGGAAAATCTCGGCAAATGTAGCACTCAAACCACTGATCTGCAAAAGGAAAGGAGATGCTATTAAGGGAGGGTCCTGAAAATCAGATGACTGGGTAGAAATGGCATAAAATGCCAGCTCCAGCAGAACTGGAGGCTTAGGCTGGAGTTTAACACCCAGAGTTGGTTTGTAGGCCCAGCATCTACAGGATTTCTCTTGCTACCTGACGAGGTACCTGCTTGCTGAGATGGTCACTGCCAACATCTCCTCCTGTAGGAGATGTAATAACTGAATCAAAAGGCTATCAAATCCAGGCTGACTTTCTGATTCAACTCAGCTTTACCCACACAGATCAAGGCCTGATTAGTGTCAGATCCCACACAGAGAATTCAGAGGTGAATCAGATGTGTTAGAAGGGCATACAAGAAGTTGGAGGAATCCACAAGAGAAATATCTACTCAACTCTTGTCAAGGAAGGTCAAAGAAATCTTCCAGATGAGGTTAACATCTGGGTAAAGTCTTGAAACCATGAGTAAACCAGGAGAATTCAACAGTGGTATGGAGGGTTTTCAAGACAGAGGAATGAGCATTCAGGAAGATGTAGAGGCATAACAAAGTATTTGGGGAATTAAAATACCTCCATGTGTTTTGTAAGTGAACAGGATTGAAGAGGAAAAGCAGGAGAATTATGAAGTTACTTGAGTGCTAATCTAAAGGGGTGAAATTTTACCCCAGAGGCCTCAGCGGCAAGTGAGATCTGTCAAAGGATGTATCAAAAATAATTTATTCCTAATAATAATTAAAGATCCAAAATTTGTAAGTACTTTAGTTATTAAAAAAATTACCATGGATTTAAGGTGTTACTACCTTAATATTCCACTCATTGCTTCACTAATGTCCTTGAGTGGATCAAAAGGGGTAATGTCCAGACAATGGAATATTATTTGGCAATAAAAAAGAACGAAGTATTGATAAATGCTATAACATGGATGCAGCTTGACAATATTAAGTTAAACGAAATAAACCAAAGGCCATATATTGCATGACTCCATTTATATGAATGTGTAATATGGTATACAGAACAGGCAAGTTCATAGAGACAGAAAGTAGAATGGAGGTCATCAGGAGCCAGATGGAGGGAGGAATGGGGAATTACTGTCTAATGGATACAGAGTTTCTGTGTATGGAAATAGATAGTAGTGATCATTTTATAATATGATGAATGCACTTAATGTCACTGAATTGTACACTAAAGAATGGTTAAAATAGTAAATTTGATATTATGTATATTTATCACAATAATTGGGGGGGAAAATGAGAAGGGAGAATCACAAGAGGTAAGTAAATGTTGAGTCTCTCCCAGAGTGCCTACCTGAACCACTCGCTCATGAATGGTAAGGATTGAGTCCAGAAACATTTTGTTGCCTTGGTCCTGTAGCTGTAACACCTCCATAGTTTTTGTGGGTAATGCATAACTGTGGAAAGAAGAGTCAGCTATTTTAGGAGGGTTCCCTTCAGCAGCAACAACACTATAAACACTTCAGTCAAAGCAGCTCCTGGATACAGCTATAATAGCATGCAGTAGCTCCTGGAATCCAAAGGAGGCTAAGCCAACTATGAGCTTATCTACAAGCAAAGTAAACAGACCTCTTTAAACCTCCTCCAAAAGTCTCTAAACTCCCTGAAGATAGAGACCATGTCCAATGCCTTTCTGCATTCCCAACATGCTTATTACAATGATCTGAATGAAACTTGGTGAATACTAAGTATTCACTGTTGAAGAACAACCAGTTCTAAAAAATCGGGTTCACCTATCAGGCAGTTCTGCTCTGTCCTGTAGGGTTGACATGAGTCAGAATCAACCTGATGATAGCGGGTTTAATGACAATCCAGCCAGCACAGATGTGTAATTTAAACACAAGCGATTTCTGATGAATAATTAAAAAAAAAAAAAAAAAATGAAGGGGGATAAATTGCCGTTTCCCAAGCATTTGTAAAAGTAGTAATTCACTTTCACCACTAAAATATTTTCTTCCAGTTAAACTTTCTTTGTTATCAGGCAAATCTGCATGGGGCTAAGGCCCTATAAAAAATGAATAAATTGTCATTGTTGCCCATTAAAAAAAATAATAATAATTGGGTTCATCATTAGGCATGCTTTGGAGACTAACTTCGGGTATTTCATCTTTTCTGGAGAAATGAGAACTCAGGGTTTATCAAACTCGGTAGTACTGACCAAGTCATTCATTGTTAGCGAGGCTGGTCTGTGTTACAGGATCTTTGGCAGTATCGCTAACCTCTACCCACTGGATGCCAGTAGCACTCTGTCTAAAGGGTTGCTGTGAGTTAAAAGTGACATAACAGCAGTGGTTTACTGAGAATTAAAGGCACAAGAGGGAGAGAAAGGGGTTCAGGGAAAGCTTCACAGGTGAGGTGGTGCTTTACCAAAATGTAAAGAATGAGCATAGGTGTTTTCCTGGAGGGCATTCCAAGAAAGTGCAGAAGCAAGGTCAAGGAAACACAAGAGGCATTCAAAGAGAACTAAACAAAAAACCAGACATACTTTGATAAACAAATAAATACTGGAAACTCAGGTCATTTCAAAGTAGAACAGGCCTTTTAATGGCAAGACAAACAAACCAAACTCACTGCCATGGAGTCGATTCGACTCAAAGCAACCCCTCCTTGGGTTTCGAAGGCAGTATCTCTATGGAAGTCCATTGCTCAATCTTCCTTCCAAGGAGTGGCTGGTGAGTTTGAACAGCCAGTCTTCTGGTTAGCAGTCAAATATGCCTTAGGCACTATGCCACTAGTAACAGTATAGCTAATTTTTCTTCAGCATCTTTATACTTTTCTGTATTTTTTAAACTTTTGGCAACAAGTATTACTCGGATAATCAGGCAGTAAAAACAGAAAGAAAATTAAATAATTGAATTTCAAGAGTTAACATAACATGACAAAATACTGCTGCTTTTGGGAGTATTGATTGGTAAGTGGCTTAAGGGAAACTGTTGGGGTGCTGGGAAACTTAGGATCTGTGGACTTTAACATATACAA